AAATAGTTCTTTTAAACATATTTTTACTGTAATTATTTTACACATACTGATATTAAAATGAAACATATAAACATTCCTTCATATACATATGAGCTATTTCAAAGAGTGGAAGTTCCCTTTTCAATGTAAACATTTAAAGAAATATTTACAAGAGAGGAAAATAATTTTTTCCATTCAAAAAGACCAACATTTCCAATATCCCTCTTATTCAACAGATATTCTTCTCATTTTTTCAGCCAATTCTTTTCTTACTTCAATGTGTTGTTCTAAATTTTGCACTTCATGTGGAAGATTGATGTCCCAAACAGACAAGCAAGATTGTATCTCTAGAAAAAGACAAACGAAATCATATTACAAAGATCCACCATAAACCTTTTCCATTTTATTTTGATTTTGTTAATGTATATTTAGTTAACTTGGACAAATGAATTTATAAATAAGGCTATAAATAATGTACTAAATTATTGCCAATCATAAGAAATTACACTTGGAAAACATTTATAATACATTATAAAAAACTACTAAATTTCAGGAAGAGTGTGGACATTTAATAACCTAACGTTTCATTTTCTCAAAGAAATAAAACTTCATCAAACACTTTTCAGAATGAGACCTCATGTATATATGCAAGTATATTATCAGGAAAAACATTCACATTTAGTTTACACTGGGGTTAGTTCTCACTTTATAGTGGTTTATATCTCTACCCCTTCTAAAAAAATAAATATTTAATACTCTTAAATCACTGAAGCTTCATTTTGAAGACTATTTATACTAAATTATTTATACTATAAAGAAGTTACCAATTAAAAATGCTGAAAATATTATAGCATATGCAATATTTACTATAAATTTATAAAACTCAAACCAAACCTATTGCCGTCAAGTCAATTCCAACTCATAGTGACCCTATAGGACAGAGTAGAACTGCTTCATAGAGTTTCCAAGGCTGTAATCTTTACAGAAGCAGACTGCCACATCTTTCTCCCATGTAGTGGCTGGTAGGTTTGAACCTCTGACCTTTTGGTTAGCAGCTGAGCTTAACCAGTCTGCAACCAGGGCTCCTTAAATTTATAAACAGCACGTAATATGTTACCATCATATGTGTTATTGCACTGTCTTTGGAATACAGGATTCTATTAAACTTTACCTTTTTGGTGTTGCGTACCTTCAGTACTTTTCCGATTATACCCCAAAACCAGCATGACATTTTTAAGGCTTCCTTCACCAAAACAAAATATAAGAGTTTTCCATTAAAACAGTAAAATATGTTGAACTAAAACAAGTACGTTGTTCATATTTGAAGACACAAATATTTTAGAACTGAATTTACAATTCTACTTTTTAAGAGACATTTCAATTACATTGAATAAATAAGTCTCCAAGAAGACCAGCGATTTTTTTTTAAGTTAGAAAATCTATTATCTGCTCTTTGCTGTAATTCTTATTAATTATGTGAACTTAAGAAAGTAGCTTAAACTTTACACAAAATGGTTTTAATATGTACACAGGAGCCTCCAAAGTTATCACATCAAATGAGACAATGTGTGTGGAAGTGTGTAAGGAACTGGCCAAATGTAAAGCATCTGGATGGAGAGCTGGATGGATGGCTATCACAATACTCTGTCACAAAATCATACTTTCCTCTTAAGTCACTCATTAATTTATTTAAAAAATATTCATCAGAAGTCTTTTATCCTAGGCATGAGGCTAGGTCCTGGGAATGAAGGGATGAACAAAAATGTGGAGACTTTACCTACATGAAGCTCATGGTCTAGTGAGGAGACTGACCTTAATAAAAACAATCATGACTACAATCAATGCTCTGTAAGAGAAGTATTATAAAAGCCAAAAGTAAGAACTCTGGCCTGGTCAGTGTTCGTTTCTCTCATTTGAGGTACCTTTCTTAAAAGAATAAGAATTAACTAAGCCAATGAGGTAGACTAAGTAAGTTAACTAAGTTAACTAAGCAAAGAAGGAAATAGCGTGTCCAAAACTCAGAAGCAGGGTGAAGCAAGGACTAGGAGGAACTGAACATTCACCTATTACAGAAAGAGTTGGGAGGAATGTGGTACAGGATGGAGATTGGAGCTAGATCATACAGGGCCTTGTAGCTATGTTTACATGTAACTTTTTCTTAAAATCAATTGTAACCCACTGAGATCCCACTATATATTTCAGATATGAATGGCCAGCTGAAACATCTGGGACCCAAAGTATGTACAAACTAAGTGAGAAGATATAACAACCTTGGTAGAATAAGATTAGGGAGACAACACACTACAGATCTCCTACTCAGTTTGTGTGAACTTGAATCCTGA